GCTAAAAAGTCATATTACTGAATGATTATCTACACTAATAAAAGACAAAGATGCTAATTGACCATACCTTCGCTACACCCACTAGCCAATCAGAAGAGTATGCAAATTAACCCAACAAAGATGGCGGTTAATTTGCATACACAGGCACCCAGCGAAGACTGAAGACAGTGTAGAAGGAAGCCAAGCACTGCAGCAGGGAGCCAAGCGGCAGAGAAAGGAACGGATCGGAGGTAGCAGAGACGGGAGCAGAGCTGAGGCAGCGGACATGGGAGTGAGTGAAGTGGCGGAGAAGGGAGGGAGCGAGGCGGCGGACATGGGAGGGAGCCGAGGCGGCGGGGAAGGGAGGGAGCGAAGCGGTGGAGGAGGGAGGGAGCCGAGGCTGTGGAGAAGGGAGCGAAGCCTGCCTCGGTGGGTTTCGCTCCCTTCTCTGCTTCGCTACAGTCTCAGGAAGCCCTATTCTTGCAGGAATAGGCCCAAGGAAACCCTATTCTTGCAGGAATCTTCCTGCAATGGGCTTCTAGTCTATATAAATAAAAGCCTAAGTGACCTGCAAACCGGCTGGTAGCTATGACACACACACACACTGACCACCAGGGGGCAGATGGTCAATGCAGGAGCAGAAACCACAGGCATGGAAACATGGAACAGACTGATGAATCTTAGAGGGAAGGGTTAAGGGTAGAGGGCAGGAAGAGATTAACCAAAGACCTTATATGCATACTAGAGGCCTGGTGCATGGATTTGTGTACCAGAGGGGTCCCTCAACTTGGCCTGCGGGGATCAGGCCAAAACCTGCTCTCTGACATCCCCCGCGGGGTCCCAGGTTGTGAGAGGGCGCAAGCCTGGCCAAGGGACCCCACTGATGCACGAATCTGTGCACCAGGCATCTAGTTTAGCATAAAAGGTTTATATCCAAGGAGGTTTTGTAATAAGGAAATGCTATTATTTTTTACTTCAATCTTAGTTGAATGAATTTTACCAAATTTCATTCATGCAAACATTCACTACCTCTCAAAAATTTGTACAACACCTTTTATGAGATAAGTATTGTGTTAGGTATAGGAGGACCCCAGTGAAATTGAGTTGCCTACAATGGTAACCAGCTCAATAAATCCATTTATGGAGTTTATGGTCCAGTGGAGGAGACAGACACTAGACATATAATCTCTAATTTATTCATTGACAGATATTTATTGAGATTCTAACATATTTCAGGTACTGTTCTAGGCACTCGGAATAGACCAATGTACAAAGCTGAGAAAAACCCATGCCCTCGTGGAGCTTAAAAAAACTTCTACTTGCGGTAAGTGTTACAGAGGTAAATGTAGGCTTCTATGGGAACCCATTCAAAATAAGCCCACTGCTCAAATGTCTCCTGGAAAGGGCTGGGAATCTGACACCAGCTGTGTTTCCTCGGGGTTAAGTTCAGGATGCCCTAGAGTGAAGAACCTGAGAGTGATGGAGGAGGGCTTTGTTTATGCCTGAAGACCTATACCTTGCAAATGTATTTTCTGCAGTGTGCAACCACCACATTGATGAGGTGTACTTGGCCAGTTAAGGGTGTCTCTTACACATAACTAGACAGGGTTACATGCAAGAATATGCCAGCACTGTATGTGTGTCTATATATGTATATATGACTAGACTTAGAGAGACTTCTCTGCTTCCAGAGAACAACAAACTAAAGATTCAAGGCCTAATTCTTTGGATTTAAGGTAAGGATAGCTGAGGATCCCAATATCCTGTAGCTGCTACTCCATCAGTTACGAAATCACATAATGTACCTGAGAAGGTTTATAAACTGGCTTTTTATAAGGAAAATCATTCACGACTGAGTCTGCGCATGTCACGCCACTGCACACCACGCACCATCCAAACATGTGCTTTTCTTTTGAAGGTTAATTTGCAGGGCCTTCTGCTCAGTCAAGGGTACTGCTAAGTGCAAAGTTTGATGAGCCTCCTGGTAAACAGGCTTATTATGAAACAGGTATTATCATCTGCAAGTACATTCTCTGGGGAGGTATTTGGGCCAGGAAGCTACATACACATGTAGTATGTTTTGGTAAATTTTGCCCATGTATTTTAATTGTATTGACTTTCTTTTGTGTTGTTCAGATAAATAAACTTTTTTTTGTACAAGTGGTATCTGTGCTTAATCTTTCCATCCACCTAAACCTGCTATTGAAATCAGTTTAGTGGATGTATAATTAAGGTAGATTTAATAACTATGATACCTTATCTAGCTTTATACACCATTTTAAAGTTGAGAGAACTTTTTAAGACTTCCTAATTTAGGCTTTGCATCCAATGGCCATACAGTATAGGGACCATGGAATAGGGTCACCTCTAGCCCAGGTCATCTTTTCAATATAAAGGCTCATCAGATACAAGAACAGACTCATATCTGCTGCTTTGGCGGATGGTTTGAGAAAAGCAGGAGGAGACTGCCTTTAACCAAAAATACTCCCATCATTACGTCTCAGTCAGGATCTAAATGTAGTATGTGGTAGGTGTCTTAGCCTGGGCTTCCCCTAAAGCAGAGCATTTGGCAAGGACATGGGAGCAGACATTTTATTTGCAGGTGGTCCTAGGAATTAGAAATGGAGGAGTAGAAGGAGACAGGGAAGGGAGAAGAGCCCAGAAGAAAACAATGTTGGTTACCACTGTGTGAAACTCAATCCCACTGTAGAGAATTATCCGAACCAACCAAAGGGCAGGAAGGCTGGGACATTTTCCCAGACTCCTATCCCCGGTTGGTTGTCAGGGATATAAATTCGGCCAAACCCCAGAACTGAGCCTGCAGGCTAGGAGCAGCTTTCCTAGGTTTCAGAGAAAGCTGTAAGGCAGAAAAGCATGAGAAGCCAAGGTATGCACTTGATGTGGGACACTGGCCATGTGCACGGAATTGTCCACGGTGCTGTGCTAAAATCTGACGGGCTGAGAAATGTGGCACAAGGCTACAAAAGCATCTGCTGCAGTCAGACAAGACCCCTTTTCTTCTTTTCTGAGACCTGGAACATACTGACCCTCCTAATGGGCACACAAAAAGTTCTGTATAATTGATGAAACATTTGATGGTATGCTTCAAAATGGAGACAGAGACTTTTTTTAGCATAATGATGTATAGAAAACATGCTAGGAGGACCAGTTTGGCAATGAGGATATTCTGAATGTCTTATGGATGTTCTCCCTACAGGATCTTGGAGGGAGCTGACCCTTGAGAAAACTGGGACAATTTGTTGATACATTTTATAGTAGTGAGGAATAGTTATTAGACATTAATTAAGCACGCACTCTATGTTCAGCATTGTTCTAAGCCCTCTTACATGTTTTAATGCAGGTGTGGGGCATCTATACTGAGTGAACTAGTCTGAAGGTAGCTTTGTCTCTCTGATCAGGCCTGGGGTGAGATCCTTTGACAACTTGAGGTGGGAGGATGTTGGGTGAACTGAGTTGACCCAGGAGACTGATGGAGGAAAACATCCATGTCAGTGTGCTGTCTGCAGACCTGAGAAAGGTGGACTGATCCCACTGATGCTGCTCCACCGTGCTTACCCTGGAGAAACTTGAGAAGAGAGCATCCATCCTTATCACACCTCATATCAGAGCTCTCAGCTTATGAATCAATTTGCTGCTACTCTGAGAGAGAAAAATATCCACATATTATTTTTCATTCAGTGCTCTGGTATTAAAGGAACCTATGCCTCTTTAACTCTGTGTGGCAACAGCTAAAGAGTTAAAAATGTCATCGGGGACTGTCTAGAAGAACGCAGGGGAAAAGTAAAATTCATGCAAAGAATGAATGGAAGGGAGTCCATAGATAACTTGTAATTAGCACGTGTAGGGAATTTGTGACCATATTGCAAAAAAGAGAAGAAAAAACAAAACCGAAACACCACATAAGCATAAGACTGTGGAAGCTAAAAGATAATGAAATAATTATGATCCAAAAAGGCAAAATAGCCAAGGCCGGTTTGGCTCAGTGGATGGAGCGTCGGCCTGCGGACTGAGGGGTTCCGGGTTCGATTCCGGTCGGGGGCATGTGCCTGGGTTGCGGGCGCATCCCCGGTGGGGGATGTGCAGGAGGCAGCTGATCGATGTTTCTCTCTCATCGATGTTTCTGACTCTCTATCTCTCTCCCTTCCTCTCTGTAAAAACTCAATAAAATATATTGAAAAAAACAAAACAAAACAAAACAACAACAAAAAAGGCAAAATAAAATTCTGATTATCATTTATATGCAAGGGCACAAGAATTTTTTTTAATATTTGAGAATTCTTAAGTATATCCCCCATGTACCCTTTCAAGTGAAATTAATGTTTAAAATATAGAACCACAAATTAAATATCAAGACAGAAAAAGATGACTTGTAAATGAGATGAATTTTATAGAGGATATGATGAGAACTAAGACAACCTAAAGCCACACAGCTTAATCAGATTAGGAATTGTTTGCATTAACATGACTTTATTATACCAGAAAATTCTTGCCCAAGAAAGTAAAGTTATAAATAATTTCTGTATTTGTCTTGGGAACTTTCTTTTTACCTGAACAAATGACTACTTATATAGCCCTCATCAGTGTAAACAGCCCTCATTTCAGAACAATAGATCTACTCAAACTTGCCTTTTCAAATCACTATTCACTCTTGAAGACTGGCTTCATAATCCTTGCCTCCCCATATCCAACAATCCTAAGGTTTGCCCAATCCCAATGAGGCCATCCATACCTCACAATGAAAAACCTACTCTAAAACCAGTGGGAGGGGATCAGTATACGCCACCCCAAAATATGCCACTTTGGCATATTGATTATTTTGAGCTGAAGGCACTTGAGAAACAGCAGATGCTGAAAGGGTTCTCTGATGTCTTCCTTCCTACCTAAAAGCAGGTTACAAAATTTCCCATAAGAAAGGTGCCTTCTCTGTTCCTGGAAGAGAAGAATATCCTTATTATCAGAGATGGAGAGTTGATGCTAAGGTGAATCTATACAAACAAACCTACTAAAATAACTCTTTTATTAGTTTCCCTCATATTGCTGCTGGAGGAGTACACGAGTGGAATTTCTCTGTTGTTCATGGAAGTGGGGTTCCTGAGGCACTGCTGAAATAAGAATTTTCAGAAGCCCCCACGGGATGATGAGAGGTGGTCGAAAATTTTATTGATGTGGAGTTACACTTTTTAGTTTCCAATGTCCCATTTCCACTAAGCCGGTCCTGAAAGAGGGGCAGCTGGGTGTTCAGCAGAGCCAAAAACAGGGCCAGTGTCCAGGGCTTCCATTCCATGTTCCAGCCAGGTGTAGTTCAGCATCCAAGCTAATTCAAGTCTATTAGTCCAGTGTAGAGTCCAACATGGCTGAGCATCACGTGGGCACTGGGGAATGTATTCCCGTCATAGGAGAGCCAGGAACCCAGCACGCAGGAGAGAAGAGAGGGCACTTCCTTTGTTTGGAAGGTTTTTATTTGTTTGTCTTTAATATATATTTTTATTGATTTCTGAGAGGAAGGGAGAGGGAGAGAGAGACAGAAACATCAGTGATAAGAGAGAATCATTGATCAGATGCCTCCTGCACATCCTCCACTGAGGATTGAGCTTGCAACCCAGGCATGTGCCCTGACTGGAACTGAACCATGACCTCCTGGTTCAAAGGTTGATGCTTAACCATTGAGCCACGCTGGCCAGGCTGTTTGGAAGTTTTAAATATTCAGGTTTTGGCTGCTTGCAGTAGCCACTGACTTGCTTTCGGGTGTGATTGATGGGCAGACAGATAGGCACCTTTCCATGTCACTCAGATCTTACTGAGCATGCGTCAAAATTGAGCCTTTATCCAGTCCCTTCCCCCACTGATCAGCAGGGAATAGACCTGGAGAATGTTACATGCATCTTTCTGGCAAAGCTGTATAAATGGCATGTCTATATTATTTGGTCTTCCCTTGCTCCTTTTCTGTTAAATAGTAATAGGATTATTACAATGGCATCAATATCTCTCCTAGTCACTTTCCTATAATTTACTGCCCAAACCTTTTTTTGTCTTATTAATATATTGTTCTTTGTTGAAAAAGTATATAAACTCTTAGGCTTGAGTATTCATTTATTTTCTACAAAGGCTCTTGTGGCACATAAAAACATTAACATAAAACAAAATTTGTATGCTTTTTTCCTGTTAACTGATCTTTTGTCTGTTTAGCTCTCAGGCCCATCCACAGAATCGAAGAAAGTATAGGAAAAGTCTTTCCCCCCTTGCTTCAGATGTTTTGACTCCTTATTCATCTAAGAAATTGATGACAGGTAAAACTGAGGAAACATCAAGCATCAAACCAAGCTTTTGATAAATGAATTTGGCCCATTTTTATGGTTGGCTCTTCTTTTGTCTACTTCTGGATTTGGTAGTTCTCCTGGGCTTTGTCCTGAATTCTCTTTTCTTTTTGAAATTTTGTTACTTTCTTTTTCCATGGCCTCAAATATACACTTACAACTCTATATTTATCAGCAACTCAAACCTCTCTTCTGAACCCTAGGTCCATATATTTAAGTGTATTCATGCCGTCCTGACTTGAATGTCACACAGATTTTAGAAGTATAAACCTGTACTCTTTTTCTTCCCACCAATCCTGCCTCACCTCCCATCTTTTACATCTTAATGACACCACACCACTATCTGGATGTTCAAGCCAGAACCTGGAAATTATTCCTAATTCTTCTCTCTTTCCCACCATACATTTTCAAACTCTAAGACAATCTGTTGATTTTTGTCCTTTGCTGGTGTTATAAACACACACACACACACACACACACACACACACCATTTTATTTTGCAATGAGTTCATTTTCCACTACTGCCCCAACAAGGCATTCTCCATCATAGTACATCAAGATTGGGGAACTCCTCTGATTAAAACCCTTTAGTAATTTCTCTTTGCTCTTTGATAAAATGTAAAATTTTTAATAAGACTAACAGTTTTCTGCCTATCTCTCCCATCTCATTTCAAGTCATTTGCTGTCTGTGTTACTGTTCTATTAGCTTTCCAGTTCTTGAATGTATCAAGATCTTTTCAAGTTCACAACCTTCACACTTGTTTTTTTCTGCCTGGGAAGTTCTTTTCCACTCCCTTGGCTGGTTATCTCTTTTAGACTAAGTATTAGCTGGGACTTAGAAAGTAAATATCTGCTCCATCACTCATCAGGCTGGTATAATAAACATGGATAAAACCAGATGCAAAGTTTATAGGAAACTATTTCTTCCAAGAACATTCTATAAAAAGTTATAACAATCCCTTCTTTCAGTGATTACTATCTTCTTATCTGCTAAGGAAACTTTTCTTTTCTTTAAAACCATAGACTATCAGAAGCTTTGTTGTTTAAAACTATATTATTAAGAATAAAACATCCCACTCTTGTCTGGGAGTGGGGTTCTTGGAACCCCATAGAGAATTAGCCTCAATTTTCAACCAGGGAAAGAGCTTAAGATAAGGGGCTTCTGGACACAACAGTCCACATCTACTTTAACTTTATGTAGTTTCCAAGAAAACGACCCTGGATACTTCCCAGACCTGATGTTGACCTATGATTTACTTTGAGTCTATCCAAACACTGCTTCATTTAAATGTCGCCCAAACTCCACTCTTACCCAAAATTCTACAATAACTTTTATCTTTTTGTTGTTTGGTCAGATGCCTCACAGTTCTGCTGTGTGATCTCCCTCATTGCAATGAGTCAGTAATCTGACTTTGTCAAACTATACGTTGGCCGCTTGTGCCTGTAGACTGATTGGGCAAGGGCAAATGACACTTCTCTAAAGGGGCTGCTCTAATGTTTCAAAGATAAAATAGGCTCTCCTAATCCACTTCTCTGATAAGCACCTTCTGCTTTTCCTTCATGGTATATTGTATCCTTCAAGACCTCAAGGCAATGCAATAATTTAGTCAAATATTAAGTTTAAAATATTAACGAGTTATATTTGTTCTACTCCACTGATAGTTTTGTAAAGTTGAGAGCACTCTAAATGCCCTTTTACTCCTTTCACGGGAGCCTTAACGTTATTAGTTTTTAAGTTCCAAAGCCTGATGGAGGAGGGGGAAAGCTGAAGGGTCAAGAACGAGAACAGTAGAAAGAGGTAAAATGACTGAAATGAAACTACAATTTTGGGTTACTTCTGAAGCCTGAAAACTACCAAGCAGCCACTCGGTAACTATCTATCAAGTAAATGAATGAACATATGTGCCATTAAGCAAAATCGGTTTAATACATGTATATTTAATACTCAATTTCTCATAAGGCTGTTATTTGCATCTTGAGGATAACAATTCAAAAATAGTGTGTTCAGCTCTTGACATTGGATAATGTGGACACATATTTATCTTATGCCTGTCACCTTTCCTTTCTGACAAGTTTCTACTCTGCTGTATCACAGTAAAACAACCACTCTAAGCTGATGAGCCTCTTATCACCTTACACTTTCCTCACCCCCTCTATCCTGTAACATTTGGTATTTGGTTTAATCCTAAATACTCCAGTTATTGCTCATGTCAAGAACAGATACCTTATCGTTGGGATTTGATCTGAGGGCAGAAACTCCACTCCAATGCAAATATTTAAGAATCAAGAAAGACGTTTATAAAAGAACTAATAGCTATCCCTCATCTACATCATAAATCATCAAATATTTTTATCCATTCTCCTTTACAATTTTGAGTTTCTTACGAATGTTTTATTGTATTCCTATGCAAAAGAGAGATAATAAATAAAAGTAGCCATGTACTAAGCACCACTGCTTCTTGCTTCAAAGAATGTTCGGTAGATTTGCTATTACTTGCAAGACATACATGTAAAATATACATTAAATATTCCAGTTGTAGAATAATAAAAATTACAAAAAACTTCAATAAATAAAATTTGTGCCTAATGTACAATGTAGCAATGTTCTTACGAAGAAGTTTTAATATAGAACAGAACATTTTTTTCCCAGAAATTTTAAAAAATGTATTCTTTTAAGAACATCTAAGGTTTATGAACTTTCAAATACACAACATAGAAATGTCTGATTGCCTATTGCTTTCCTGAATTCTTGTCTGAACTACAGCCTAGCTATCCTGAATAATAAAAAAAAAATGTCTAACCCAATGTCTCTTTTTGCTTTCTTTCGCTCAGACTTTCATTTTCTTATTGATAACAACTACCCTTACTCTATCATAGGAATATAAAAATAACTCCTGACTTTTCCATTCTCTTTCAGCACATGCATATTTATACCATGACTGCATGACCTTAAATATATTATTTAACCTCAAAGAGCCTGTTTTCTCATTTGTAAAAGAGGATAATGATACCTATCTAAAAAGGTTGTAAAGGTTTTTGAAATAAAGGATGTAAAGGTTTTAGTACAATCCTTTGTATTTGGCAAATGAATTGTAAATGGTAGTATTATCTACATTATTACCTTCATCAATGTTCCCTTATTAATTTTTGATTTTAGTAATTTGAATATACTGTCTTTTTTCCTTAGTGAATCCAGCTAAAGATTTGTTAATTCATTGGTCTTTTCAAAGAACCATTTTTTTTCAATGACTATTTTTTTCTATTCTCTATTTCATTCATTTCTGCTCTAATCTTATTATTTCCTTCCTCTTTATGGCTTCAAACTCAATTGAATACAATATATGCAAGAATTAATATTTCCTCAAATGCCTAAACTGTAAGAATAAATAAGTACTTCTGAGTCCTGAGGCCAAGAGCAGCCTATTTGTTAGATTTACTGTTTAAATCCCTATGGACAGCTCTCATGTAATTCACAGTAGAATATTACTATGTCTTTATGAAGATGTTTGGAAAAGGCAAGAGGTCATGAACGAGAATTATCCTACATTAAATGTTAAGGCGATCTTCTATTTTGTGAGACTTGTGCCAGACTGAAAGAGAGCAATACCATGGGCCTCTTGAGTATTTAAATGAAAAATTGAAATCAAGCCTCTCATTTCTAGGTTATCATGCCATCATGAGACATGTCAGAATTTGGTCTGTTTCTGAAGAAAACAAGAATGACAAGAACCACCTGTCATCTTATAAACACTCATTTTCCCCTCTTGAGAAAAGATCATGGATGTAATCGACACGATTACTAAATGTGGGTTCCACAATTCTCCCCAAATATGTAGCTCATATGTCCCTAAAACTGGCTTCAAAAGGTCTGCTCAGAAGAGTTACTTTCTGATTTTCATCTGCATCTCTTGCTTAGCTTTCACACTTCATCTTACCTGACCCAGGATCCCCTTCATTGCCAGATACCTCATTCAACCCACCTACCCAGTGCTTCCTATGTTTCATAATCATGATTTTTCTGAGTTAGAGACCCTTGATCATATCTAAGGAGATGGAATTTTCTGTTATTTTCAAAAAATAACCAGCAGAAATCAGAAAAGCATGAAAAAACATCCTCTGGACTAGGAGTGGTTAATGGATACTTACCTGAATTGAGAGGCTTTCTACAGAAAATAATGAAACACTGGTTTAAGCAATAAAGACATTTACAGTATTACCTTAGAATCTAGATGAAAAGAAGCCCATAGTTGGTATACTCCAGGTTTAATTCATCAGCTCAATAGCATCAACAAGTACTCAGGTCTTTCCACTTTCTTCTGAGTCATTTCATTGTGTTGGCTTTGTTTTTAAGTTGCCTCCTCTCTGGTTGCAAGATGGCTGCAGCAGGTCTAGTCATTACATTTGGACATGCCAGTGTCTAAGGCAGTTGCCTTTTCCTTGTGTGTATCTTCCTTTAAAGATTATATTTAAAATTTTTGTGCTGTCAATCTCTTTCATCTTTTCAAATCAAATCACCAATAGTATCTATTAAAAACAAAATGTCTATGTAAAATAATTTATTTTAGTAAGATTCATGGAGCAGTTGCTGAGTGAGCTAGGGATTTTTAGGATTGGGGCGAGGAGAGGAGTGTATAGACTATTGGAAAGTGAGAAGCTAGTAGGCTTAAATCCAGTAGGAACAGTTTAGGCCCAAGAACAAAAGGCTTGAGCTAGGACTTCTTGGCCTCTTAATTTCTTTTTTTTTATCTCCGTCTAAAAGATTTGTATTCTATAACTTGCCTTGGCTAACCTTTCTTAATCTCATAATCTCATTTAATCAATAACAACTACTGTACCACCTTCACAATATTCACTTTAAGCATTTCATTCAATGAATATCATCTCCTTTCCTTCCAGCATATTTTACTGTGCAAACTGCAATATTCCTTTGACCCAACAGGATCTTCAATTCATTGACCCTATAAAGTGTTGACTGTTCATCATCCCATCATTTGTCTCTTTCTTAGAACGAAAAAACTTCCAAACTGTCCTGTAAACACCCTCATAGCTCAGTGGCCAGAACTGAGTCACATGGTCTTTCTAAACCACAACTGGTAAGAAAAATATAGTTACCAGGATTGGTTTAAAACAATCATGATTTTTTTCCTGATGTGGAGATAGAGAGATCTTCAGAATACCTACACCTAGACTCCAAGGTAAAAGGAAGAATAAATGTTGGATAGTTAACCAAAAGTAACTGCTATAGTATTATGTGTTAACATTAATCCTTTTAGCCCTAGCTATGTGACAGTTTTTGAAGTCACTTGTCATTTGTCAAGAGTAGGGTAGGTATCAGGAAAAGAAACACAAAAATAGCTATGTTTCTATCAATCACATTCTAGAACTGGTTCTACTAAATCCTTGTTGGGTGACTTTAAGTAAGGCATCTGACCTCTGTTTGTCTCGATTTCCACATCCACAACATGATATAAATATCTGTCATGGGATAGCTGGAAAGATAATTATACTGAATAAATGCAAAGCAGTATCATTTCTAAATTTTAGCTGCCCACACTGCCTGTTTGTTCTACTTTCATGTATTCATTCATTTATACATCTTTTCAACAAATAGTTGCTGACAGTCTACTGAAAGTTAGATATTGGATGAATACTTTGGAATCAAAAAGTTTTCATCATGGCCCCTATATTTAAACTATTAACCAATGAATTAGCAGCAACTGTTTTGTCTCTTGGAGTACAGAATCGGTAAGGTAGTGTAAGATGTAATACAAGAAAAATAAAGTGGGGTAATGAGGGGTGTTGTGTAACCATAATGGTTGCTTCAACTGGAATGTGAACTGTCCTATTTACAAAAGTGCCTGCAGCCAAGTGTGTGAGTCCACAGGTGCCTACATTGCTTTTCTAGCTTAGGTATTGTTTGGTTTTAATATTTACTGTATATAATATAGGCAAAGGAATGATATGGATTTATGCTACAATAAAATAGTGAACAAAAACTGAAAGAAGATTGGTTCATGCATGGGCTAGTAAGACATGAAATTGACATTAATGGACTAAGGAAAAAACAGCTTTCCTGATGAAGAACTAATAAAGAAAGAACTGTTCTGAAAGCTCTCCATTATTTGGAATGACAAGGAAACATTGATGACTTTAAACTCAGCTAACTAAGCGATTGTCTTAAGAATCCAATAGCCCAAAGAGATTTTTCAATTTTGGAAATTTTTTCCTCACATTTCAGAAAAATGTAAGATGTTAAAACACAATTGCTTCTTCCTATGCTTGTTCTTAAAAAAATATAGGGTAGAAGAGGGATTTTTACCAGGATGTGGAACCCATTATTTATCTTTGTGATGCGATAACAATATATTTTAGATGAAGAAAACTTCTGGAGGAAATTGTGTTTCTGAGCAATAATACTGGCTTGTGTAGGAAAATAATTATAGAATAGGATTAGAAAGTAAATAGCTACAGTTTACCCCTATTAAATGGGAATAGCAAAACATTAAAATATTGGTAATTTAAACTTACCATAATTTTGTGTCTGGATTCTCAAACAGTTCTGTGGATTTAGAACCAACATTTGATGGGAAGGAAGAATTCCCAACCTCCAAGTCCTATGATGTGTCAGGCCACCAGAAGAAAAGTTTTGTCACTACAAAATAACTCCCTTAGCAGGGTAAAACTGCAGGTCAACTCTATAGCTATGGTGCGGTTCAGTGGAGTTCTATTCATAAGTTGAAACAATTTACAACTCTGCTCAGCTTTGATATGCGGGGGAACAATGTTGAGTTTAGCTGTCAGTGACCTTGTGGTTCCTTCTGAGCAAAGATATCTTGTAGTCTGCGGAGCTTGTGATCTACGCAGCCTCCATTCAAGCAAGGTTGAAGGGACTGCTGTTGAAGCAAGAATCACTCCAGCCCTGTCCATGCACATGGGCCACTCTTCTGTTGGCTTCTTCTACTGCAATAATAAAAAGTACTAAATCAATAACGGGCAAAGGAAAGATGAAACCTTAGGGAGTAAGATACTACAGTTAAGACCTTCTTGGCCTAGGGAGAAACTTAGTTGCTTAATGTAGTTGTGAGATAACCAATATCTATGAAAAACTGGCCATTTTTTTCAGTTTACTTGATTAAAAGAAAAGTGATAATAAGAAACAGTCTAATGCTCCTTAAAAGTAACTAACTCGGGGCCAGGAACTACATAAAGTCTTTATGTAAACTGTCCAATTTAATCCTCTCAACAATCCAGACATAGGTTTTATCCCCACTGTACAGAGGAAAACAAATTGAGGCAACAGAGTTTAACTTACTCAAGATCTCATAGTAAGTGATGAAGCTGGAATTCAGAAACCAGAAAGTCTAACTTCAGAAACCAAGTTCTTAGTGTTTACATAGACAGCCTATCCTTTTCCCCACAGAATTTAGCTTTTTCCTTTATTGTTTCTTCACCAGAAAACCATCTTTTAAAATAATTTTTTTAAAAGTACAGTAGAAAGCTATAACTTAAAATACCATGTATGACATCACGCAACCTTAAGACAAAATGCCTATTTTAGAAGTCCTATGAATAATCTGGCAAAAATAATCTACCCTATTCTTTAATGTAGTGGACTGAATAAAAAAAAATTCTACTTAAGACAAATTAAAATAATGTAGAAAAACAGACTTCAACTTTTTCCTTTTCATTCTGAAAGATGGAACAGATTCAAGTGTTACATTCTCAGATCCTCAGAGCTGACCATCCAACTTTTAACATGTTTGTTTCTCTCAAATCCCTTCCCATTTCTTTCCCATTTCTCTCAGTTGCAAATCTAAGCCATTTCCAAATTCGGTAAGATTTAACTCTCATCACCCCCCATCTCTTCAGACAAGTTTTTGCCTACTGGGTCACTGAAACAAACAAACAAACAAACAAACAAACAAACAAACAAACTGAGGCTACCAGGCTTGAAATCCAGGAATTCTGACTAACAAATGTACCCATATGCATCCTCTTTCCAATCTCCCCTCAGAAGGTCACCTCTCCTTCTGGTTCAAATCAAATTCTGACAGTGCTCTTGGTTCCAGCCCCTCCCATCTCTTTAAGAAACTTGAGTCATTGATTTTCTGTATCATTTGTGCTGTTGTAGATTTGCCAAATACATTGCTACCATGCCCACAACTTCTTATGAGGGAAAGCAATCCATCCATAGTCTTTGCAAAGGAGCAGCCATGTTTTATACCATGTATATTCCTGTGTACCAACTGATTGGACAATGTGGGCACCTATTTCAAAGGGCAGCTAACTTATAGGCTGGCCAAAGAATTAAGACATGTTCCGGCATGAAAAGATAAGCAGGGTCAGTTTCTTAAAACTTCTCAAAAGTGCTCACTGCTTTAAGCATGAGACCCATCTTTAAGTGAGATGAGTGATTTTTTTTTATTATTTAAAAAGTTTTGAAATGATCTTTGATGCATGTCTTGCCCGTGAATGTCATTCACTTCAATGTGGAAGCAAGTTTATATAGTATAGTTGCTAGAAAGCTAAGAATGTTAATATTGGAATAATAATGTTGAACATTGTTGATAATAATACAACTCACAGAAGCCTATTTTATGCGTTTTAAATACATCATCTTGATACTGTTGTAATTAACTAGTTATTATTAACAGGAAAGGAGCAAAGGGAAGACCAGACATTATAGGCATGTCATTGGGCAGCTTCGCCAGGAAGCTACTACACTCCCCAGGGGACCAACAAAGGGGAGATAGGTGCATGCCCAGTAAGTTGGACTGACATAGGCAAGGTGCTTACTGTCAGTCACACCTGAGAACAAAATGGGCATGGCCACTACAAGGGTGCAGAATTTGGGATATTTAATTTCCTAAACAAAGGAATTCGCTCTTGGCTCTCTTACTGCTTTGGGGACTCTTGGGACTTGTGTGACTCTGGGTTTGTGGGGCTACTTTGCGTTTGCCCACATGGCCCATGGCCATGCGGCCCCCATACACAATGGACTAATGCACTGCAACTAGCCTGATGCTGAACTGGACCCAGCTCCAACATGGAAAGGAAACTGGACACTGGCTCTGCTTCTAGCTTCACTGAAACCCCAAGGACACTTCTATGGCTGGACTAAGAGAAATGGGATTTTGGAAACAGAGTAATTTAATTCCACAAAAATAAAAGCTTTCTACCCTATCTCAACCTCCCATGGGGGCCTCTGGAAATGCTTATTCCAGTGGTACCCCAAGAACCCAACTCCCACTAGCAATGGAGAAAGACCACCTATTTTTTTTTCTGATAACAATCTGATTCTTACAATAATCCTATGGTGTAGGTTCCTAATTTTCAGATAAAGAATTTAAGGCTAAGAGGACTTGGGTAATTTTCTAAGATCACTCCGTTAATGTGTGGCTGAGCTTGGAGTCTGGATCCAAAGTTTATGTCCTCTTCGTCCTCTTTATACTATATCTGTTTTCCTAACCAAAAGTATAAAGGCATTGCTAAATTTTATTTTATCATTTGTCATCGTGGCTTGGCATCAAAATAATTGAAGTTGGTTTACGTAAGTATATAAACAGCATAAAATTAACAGATGAGTGATTAAAGGAAAAATAAAATCAAGCTAGGGACAAATATAGTGCATGCAAATACATGACATAGGTTTTGTAAGTAGTTAGGCAGGGTCTGTAAAGACTGCTTCACTAGGAAGGAGTGATGCCTTTGGGGAGACTTGCTAGCTTCTTCATAGGCTAACATGTAGAGGTAACCCACTCTGGATCAGAGGCACTGAAGGACAGAGTAAGGATGGAGATGGCTTGCCAAGAGCAATTTACTAGTGTCTTTGAAGGAAAAGCTACACTTTGCAAAGACATAACCCAAACTTCTTCAATACTTACATTCTTTTTCCAACTGGCCTATAAACTGGGGTTCAAGTGGAGAAAATAAGATATTGTTCAGAGTTACGATTTGGGGCGAGTGTCAAAGATTTCTGAGCAATAACCACCACCACCACCACCACCAACAAAACCCCTAGCAGCTGATTTGAGTAATTACAGGGGCGTAGAGTTTGGACTTGGAACGGTGGTAAGTAGAGAGCTTGTTTGCCGCACGTAGCAGATTAACTCACATTTAATAACGGAGTAAATCTGTTGGGCCATGACTCAATGCGCCCAAATGACCAGGATCGCGATGTCTTACTAAGCCTTCGGGGTCAACACACACAGTACTTTTAGGGTGCGGCCTCACATTAGTCAGCTTTGCTAGTCTGGGTCAAGAGACGACCAAAAGCTCAGGAATTAAACTCCCTGGAGACTGGGCCTCCTCCCAGGTTCTCCTCCGCCTTGTAGACTGTTGGTGTTCAACCACGAATGGGCGCACGCCTTGGGCTTCAGGAGGCAGGCCGCCCGGGGTCTGCACGTTTAACAACCGCCTCGGGTGCATCTGCTGCGATGGTTCAGACCGCATTTTGAAAAGCAGAGTAGAACGGGGAAGTATGGTGCGTACAAGAGTCAGCTGCTCCAAGGCGTCCTGTTTCGGCCGCTTTGGAGGCGAAGGCTGCGTCCGGGCTTATTCACACCTTTGAACCTTCAGAGGGCGGGGCGTCGTGGCGTCAGGCCCCGCGGCACCTGCGACGAGGACACTCGCCCACGCTCCGGGCCGGCGACGCCGGCGCCACCCAAACCGCAGGTCCCCAGAGCTCCCCCGGGTTTCCTTCGGTTTCACTGGCGCTCAGGTCCGCGCCGTGCCTCGCCGCTTCCCGCCGGCGCCCAGAGTCCACCGCCAGCTGCGGGTCCACTGGGGGCTCCAACGGAAGCGACGCCCCGTCCCGCCCCCCGCTGCCCGCCGGAACCGGAAGTCAGCGGCTGCCGCCCGCTCACCGCCCCCCGCGGGCCGCCCGCACCATGCTCCGCGGCGCCCGCTGCCTGCGCGGGGCTCCCTCGGCACCCTCCGCGGTCCTGGCGGTGGCTCTGCTCTCGTCGCTCTCGCGCTGCTCCCTCCTGGAGCCGGAGCACCCCGCGGTCTCGGCGCTCAGCCCCTACTTCGGCACCAAAACTCGCTACGAGGATGCCAACCCCAGGCTGCGGCGGGACCCCGAGGCGCCGCTGCGCGACCCGCAGCTGCTGGAGGAGACCTGCACCCCGGTGCAGCTGGTCGGCCTCATCCGCCACGGCACCCGCTACCCGACGGCCAAACAGATCCGCAAGCTGCGGCAGCTGCACGGGCTGCTGGAGGCCCGCGGGCCCGGGGGTGACCTGGGCGCCGCGCTGGCCGCCTGGCCGCTGTGGTACGCGGACTGGATGGACGGGCAGCTGGTAGACAAGGGGCGGCAGGACATGCGACAGCTGGCGCTGCGCCTGGCCTCCCTCTTCCCCGCCCTCTTCAGCCGCGAGAACTACGGCCGCCTGCAGCTCATCACCAGCTCCAAGCACCGCTGCGTGGAGAGCGGCGCCGCCTTCCTGCAGGGGCTGTGGCAGCACTTCCACCCCGGGCTGCCGCCCCCCGACGTCGCAGGTGACCTCTGGGGCGCCCGGCCAGTCCCCTGCCTGTCCCCCTCCCCCCCCCCCCTCGCTTTCAGACCTCCCCCAGATCCTGGACTTCCCCAATCCCAGCCTCTCACTTCCCTCTGTCTCCCGATCCCCATCTCTCGATCCCCCCCCATCCCATGGTTTGGCCTGGACTTGGACTTGGCTCCCTCGCTTCTCATACATACATTTATTTGTTCACTTATGAGGTATGAATATGGCATCTTCCACGTGCGGGACGTTGTAGTAGACATTAGGGGATCCAATAGGAAAAGAGACAGACCAGGGCCGTTTTTAACCATCCAGTCCCAAAATTGAATTGCCCCCTCTGAGCAACAAACCCTCCTTTTCTCCCCGCCCCGGCTGCTCGTTCTACAATTGGGCACATTTAAATACGTTCTAGGACTTTCTTCCTCAGGCTTTGTTTCTGATACTATTTGGATTTTTTTTTTTTAACTTACCGTTCTTTTTCAGATGTTGGTTCTAATCTAGACCTATTTTAGGAAGATATTCTCAAATTTTCTTTACTGCTCAGTTTTTTTCTTTTTTGTTCTTATATGTACTCTAAAGTGACCTTCGTTGTAGCTGTGGTCCATGGTAACACGCAGTACTTTACTAATTTATTCCATTACTTACTCTTTTGCAAAATTTGAGATATCATCTGGTGAGACCCTTTAATTTAACGGTGGGACAGCTGAGCCCAAGAATATGCCTTGTGGGCTCAGGCCCAGATTCCCAGGTCTTCTGTTTCCCAGGAATGATGCTCCCCCCCCTCAGAAAATGTTTAATAGACACAGTTAGTACTAATAGCAAACACTTAATACCTGCTATGTGTGCAACCTTTTGCTGAAGTTGATAGTATTTTCTCCCTATCCGATGAGGAAATTGAGAAACAAACACTAAATAATTCGTCTAATTTCATATAACTAGGTATGGACCCAGAAAGTCTGATTTAGAGCTTGTCTCAACCCTTACACTATATAAATAACTTCTGTTTGTCTGTAACTTAACACGTTAAGCGCCCAGTCACCGGCGACTGACACTATACTTTATGTCCGGAAGACAAAAGATGTTAAGGGTAAGAATAAAAACATAACATTTTTGTGCTGGAGACCTGATTGAGTGTGAATACTTTTTTGATCCGTTTTAAGGTCAGAGAAGAGGTGAGACATCAGTTAGTTTCAAAGTCCAAGTGAAAAATGAAGTAGATTGGTTTCTCATTTCTCCAATAGCATCCTTAACAGTTCAGCCATCACCAAGGGGTTCTTCCATGGATTGTGTGTCATGTCATTGCTCTGTGGGTAATTCATCTGGCTGACTTGGAATTAGTCATTGTTGAATTGTGCTCTTTTGTTATAGCTAGGCCTTTTCTATTAATATGAGTGGAAATTCCCCATAAGTCAGTTAAATTAACTGAATGTTGAAAGTAGAATATACTTTAGTATATCACTGTATATACAAGGTGGGGTAAAAGTAGGTTTATAGTTGTTCATATGGAAAGTAATACAATAAATAATAATATGTGTACATTTGGGCTTTTGAGGGAGGACACGATTAAATTTTGTATTCTTACAGAAACAACGATGCCTTTGTTTCTGTTTAAAGAGCAGCAGTATTAGATAATAGCATGGGTGAAATATCCAGATCCACTTGGAAAATTGTATTTTGAGATCACAAAAAGATGACTTGTTTTCCTAGTTAACATGCTTTCTTAAGAATTGTAATCTAATATGCAATTAAAGTGGGCAGAATTATCCATTTCAGGACCTGAAATGGATATATATATATATATATATATATATATATATATATATATTTGTTTTTCCACACATATCTATAGCAAAACAGTGTAACTAGATTTAATTTTCTCATTTTATATTCAGAAATCACATACTTGGTGTTCTTTTCCTTTAAAATTCACCCCAATGGTTGAAGCATGATTATGAATGTTTTTCCAATACATACTTGTTTCCAAGTTGGGGAAATAATATAACTTGTTAAATTTTAAATGGGAAGTTTTGGGGAGCTTCAGTTAGAAAACAAACCAAATCAGAAGCTCCTAGCACAATGAAAAACAGAAGTGTAGATGTATTTTGTGTATTGTTAGTTTTTGTCCCAAGCATAGTCTTTTGTGAAATAAACAGGGTTGAGAAAGTTAATTTAAAAAAATAAATGTTCTGTGTAGACTTTGGCTTAGAGTAGAAAAATAGATTGTTTCTGTTGAATGATCTCTAACCATGTAATTATAAATTTTGCTAATTTTTAGTTTTTCAAGTTTTCTGTGCCTAACAGAAACAGCACTTACATAATACATTTTTGTACATTTTATGACTTTTATAGCTAATTACTTTTGCTTTAAGAAAACATTCATTTAAATTATCTTTATTGTGTAGTATTGTTATAACACTTTTTACCTTTGATACTCTGTTTCTTTAGTCTTTTTAGCATATACTCATGAATTACTATTACAAATGGGAGTAGTTTTGCCCTATGTCTTTCTTGAATAATGTGTGCTTATTTCAAACATGAATAAATAGGTTTTTAGTGTTCCTTTTCACACAAAACATTCAATAATTTGAAATTGTCGCTTATGTCTTTTCAGACATGGAATGTGGACCTCCAAGAATTAATGATAAACTAATGAGGTTCTTTGATCATTGTGAAAAGTTTTTAACTGAAGTGGAAAGAAATGATACGGCTCTTTATCATGTAGAAGCTTTCAAAACTGGACCAGAAATGCAGAACATTTTAAAAAAAGTTGCAGCTACTTTGCAAGTGCCAGTCAACAATTTAAATGCAGGTAATGTGCCTATTATCTTTCATTTAAATTCTGAAGTAGTTAAATGGTTTTTGAACTCTGAAAATGGAAAAAATATGGAGGAATAAAGTATTCCTTTTAAAAGATCCACAGTTGATTTTACAGTAAGAAAATAATATGTTTTTGGTCATGCTTAACTACTTTTAGATTGAAATTCTTTGAGTTTTATGTAAATTAATGTACAGAATTTTTACTATATTCTGGAATTTTTTTGAGGGCAGAGGTATATAAAGTTTCAACTTTCAACATTATATATAAAACAAAAATTATTTTTTCTGTGTTATCTCCTTGTAAAGTGCTTTTGAAGCAATTCAGAAGTACATGTTCATGTCTTGAAAGGGATAAGTTTTAGAAAGTGAAAGGCACAGTAATGTGATTTTTTTTTTCTTTAGGCTTTAAACTTAGAGATGCTGAGAAAATGGACAGTCATGTCTGTCATAAGGTATTGCAGTGGAGATGAGCTGACTGTAGTTTATCATGCAACCTAGGACACTTGGAGGGTGAAAGTGACATTATTAATAATTATGCCAGGAAAACAGGTGGAAAACCAGGACATATGGTCACTTAGAAATGTGAAGTTAAGAAAAATAATAATTTTTTTTTAGGAATTTATAATGCATAGAGCAGGTGTTGACAAATATGCATACAAAGATTGTGGATTTCATTATATTGTGAATAAATTTCCAAAAGACTAGAAGTAGGAGATGTTGGAGAAAAAATGCAGACTGGAATCTGTCAATCATGGAGACTGAATGCTTAACGTTTAAAGGATCAAACAAGTGAAAATGCCTAGACTAAGCTAGCATTTTAAACTTGAATTTTTCCTCTTTCCCGAAATTGGTTGGTCACCTGCCAGTTTTAAAAATTATTTATTTTATTAGGAAATAATTCAAGCATATACATAATAATAATGGCTAATATAATGAATGTTGTTATACCCACAACTTATTTTTATCAAATTTTAATATTGTGCTTCAGTTAGTTGCTTTAAGGATATTGAGGTCTTTTGGTCCTGCTGGAGGATCTCATTCATCTCCTTTTCTCTCCACAAGTAACCATTGTCATGAATGGACCACTTAAATAATTCCTTGCCAGTTTTTTGGTGTTCCTTTGTTTTGTTTTGTGGGGTGTTTTTTTTTAGATTTTTAAAATTGATTTTTAGTGAGCGAGGAGGGGAGAGGGAGACACATCCATTGTTTGCCTCCTGCACGCCCCCTACTGGGGATCAAGCCTGACTCCTGGGGCTGGAGCTATTGTAGTCCAAATTCTTTTTAGTTTAATTGGGCTGAAATTTAGATATCCTCATGGTTTTGCTTGACAGTTCCAGTTCCTCCCCTTTGGATTATACAGAGTTAGCCTTAATCTTTGATAGCCAGGAAGAAATTGACAACTAACTTTATCCAGTTTCTTCAGTTGTGCTGCACATGGCATTCTATAGATATTTAGCCTTTGAAAAATTGCAAAGTAGTAACCTACAAATTTTACCTTCCCCCCCCAGATTTGATTCAGGTAGCTTTTTTCACCTGTTCATTTGACCTGGCAATTAAAGGTGTTAAATCGCCGTGGTGTGATGTTTTTGACACAGATGATGCAATGGTAAGTGTTAATTTTGCAGTTTCTTTGCTTTTTTGCATGATTTATTGTTGCTTGAAGTATCTTCTCAAAAAATAAGCAGAGTAGGGAGCATTAACTATCTTTGACTAACATAATTTTTCTTAACAAAAGAGAGATTTTGCTTGTTCAGATAGGGCCTACCTACTTATAACTAGTTTGGGTTCATAAAACTCTGGAAAACATTCTTCCATTGTGATTTGATTTCTAGGTCCACCCAATTAAAAATGAATTTAACCCAATATCAGATTTTATTGCTGGAGAGGATTATAGAGCTAATATAATTTAAATTCTCCTTTTTATAGGAAGCCAAGGCTCAGAGAGGATGAATGGTTTTCCAAATGTCTGTTTCTTTTATAACAGTTTGGATGATAAATTGAGTTCTGTTCCACCTGGTGATGGCAGTAATTCATCTACAATTTCTTTCTGCCTACTTCATATTTTTTCCTCCTCAGTCATATGCCTTCTTTGTAGAGAGACCTCTGGTGACTTTAAGGGAGGTAAATTCTGACCAGTTTTGGGATGTTAGAAGCCAGAAAGGTGAGGTAGGAGAGCATTACTTTTTTTTTTTTTTTTTTAAGTATTGAGGATTACAGCATTGGATAGAATTCTGGGGATGAGATAGTGAGATAGGATGTTTGTATGTATGGATCATTAAGGAATATGAACTTTTGAAACCTTAATCATCTTCATGCCTTGCATACATATGAAACCTTCAATATTCCATATGAAAATAAATTAACTTCAAATTTTAACCTCAAACTTTGAAAAGTAGTATACTATTTGCCAGATAGAAGCAGGATTTTAAGGTGAGAACTAATGTATCTTTGAAGGTAAAAGAGTGCTTTATTTTGTTCCTCGAAGACAAGTGACCAGCAAGCAGGTTTTATGTGGTATGGTGTCAATGTGGAACTAGGGCTTAGTGCAGTGATGGCGAACCTATGATACGCATGTCAGAGGTGACACGCGAACTCATTTTTTTGGTTGACTTTTCTTTGTTAAATGGCATTTAAATATATAAAATAAATATCAAAAATATAAGTCTTTGTTTAACTATGGTTGCAAATATCAAAAAATTTATACATGTGACATGGCGCCAGAGTTAAGTTAGGTTTTTTCAAAATGCTGGCACACCGAGCTCAAAAGGTTCGCCATCACTGGCTTAGTGGCTGAGTTGGAAGAAGGGGAAAGGGCCCTCAGTAGATGGTTACTGTAGGATGCTGAGCACCAAAAGTAATCGGTGTGTTCTATTTTCTCTCTGTGATCCTGAGTGTCATGATGATCTTTTTCTTTGTCCCGGGTACCCAGTATCTTTCTTATCTCCTCTAATAGTCCACAGCTCATCACTTCAGAAACTTACTTGTGTTCCCTCTTTTGTTATGCCTTTTGCTTAGGATGATCATAAAATTTGTCTTTTAAATTGGGATACTTTGTGAAATGAGCACCATTAGTAAGTATGCTGGTATAGATATAAACTGAGATTTATGGTCAGCATTTATATATGTGTCAAAATAGTACATTTTCCTTTTCTCCCTACACATACTGCTCTAGGGCCGTGGTCGGCAAACCACGGCTCGTGAGCCACATGCGGCTCTTTGGCCCCTTGAGTGTGGCTCTTCCACAAAATACCATGTGCAGGCGCACACATAGAGTGCGATTGAAACTTCGTGGCCCATGTGCAGAAGTCGGTATTTTGTGGAAGAGCCACACTCATGGGGCCAAAGAGCCGCATGTGGCTCGTGAGCCGCGGTTTGCCAAGCCGCAGTTTGCCAACCACTGCTCTAGGGAAGAAAGCCAATGAAAAAGGGAATTTTAACAAAAGAATAACTCATTTGCCCAAGTTACTGCAGTTGTTGGAATAGTTGGCATGTGCCCATCTGGCCCCCTGCTGTCTGCCCATTTCCTGTCCCCAGTGGCTCTCCATCTGGTCCCTTACTTCTGAGGACCGACAGTTTCTGGATTAAGTGCAAGCTACTCCCTGCAGTAAAGACATACATCTCAGATCATAGCCAGCCTCTGCTTCATCTTTGTGTCACCTACTTGTATTTCCTTCCCTTTTCCTATTTGAATCCCTTTCCAATTAAACATTGTACTCTCCTTTTGTGCATTTGCTCTTTCTCTTCTGGGAGATAGTTTGATAGATTACAAAAACCCTGGAAGTTAAGATGTTGGTCAAAGTAACACTTAATCTTTCTGTGCCTCAATTTCCTTATCTATTAAGAGACTAGAGGCCCAGTGCACCTTCTCGCAGTCCGGGACCCCTTGGGGGATGTCTGCCTGCCAGCTTAGGCCTGATCTCTAAGCTGGCAGGCAGACATCCCTCTCGCAGTCTGGGACCCCTTGCTCCTTACTGCCCGCCTGCAGCGGAGACAGGAGAAGCTCTCACCACTGTCGCTGGGCTAGCCAGCTGTCTGGCTGAGCAGTGCTCCACCTGTGGGAGTGCACTGACTACCAGGGAGCAGCTCCTATGTTTAGTGTCTGCCTCCTGGTGGTCAGTGCGCATCATAGTGACCATTTGTTCTGCCCCTTTGGTCGATTTGCATATTACACTTTTATTATATAGGATAGAACTATCAGGTGACTCAGGAACACCCCTATAACTAAGACTCTATACTGGCCTTTCTCTTTTACTTTTCTTTTTAAGATTACCCTTTTATCTCTTTATTGCATATGAATGCCTCTCCCACAACTTATTTTGAAAAATTTCCCACAGAAACTGTAAGAATAATACCATGAATGTTCATGTCCTTCACCTATATTCACCAGTTGTTAACCTTTCTTTTGCTACATTTGCTTTTTTCTACATATATTAGGTACCTAGACTTAGTGGTTTAAAACAACATAAATTTATTATCTTCTGTAAGTCAGAATTCCAAAATGAATTTTATAGGGCTAAAATCAAGGTTTCAGGAAGGCTGTGTTTTTCTGGAGGCTTTAGGGTGGGAGTGGGGGACGTCCGGTCCTTCCAAGGCATTAGGGGTGAGTTAATTAAAAGTTTGACCAAACATAGCAGGCTAATTTTTAAGTTGATAATTTTGTATGGGCTGTGAATGATGTTATAAATATCCAAAGGCCCTTGGCAAAAAAAGGTTCCTCACCTTTTTTCCGGTCTCTAGAGGCCACCTGTATTCCTTGTATCATTCTGACCTCTGCTTCCATGGTTATGTTTTCTGCTCTGACTGTCCTTCCTGTCTACTTAAAAGGATCTGTGTGATTATATTGGGTCCACCTGGATAGTTTAGGACAGGGGTGGGCAAACTTTTTGACTTGAGGGCCACAATGGGTTCTTAAACTGGACCGGAGGGCCGGAACAAAAGCATGATGGAGTGTTTGTGTGAACTAATATAAATTCAAAGTAAACATCATTACATAAAAGGGTACGGTTTTTGTTTTTTTTTTAGTTTTATTCATTTCAATCGGGGCGGATCTGGCCCACGGGCCGTAGTTTGCCCACGGCTGGTTTAGGATAATTTTCCCATCTTAAGATCCTTAACTTAATCACAAATTCCCTTTTATTATGTAAAACTAGAGGGCCGGTGCACAAAAATTTGTGCGCTCGGGGGGGAGAGGGGTTCTTTCAGCCTGGCCTGTGCCCTCTCACAGTCTGGGACCCCTCAGGGGTTGACCACCTGCTGGCTTAGGCCGGGGGATTAGACCTAAGCTGGCAATCAGACATACCTCTGGTAGCCCGGGAGCCCTCGGGGGATGTCCACTTGCCAGCAGGGAGCAGGCCTAAGCTGCAGTCGGACATCCTTAGCACTGCTGAGGAGGCGGGAGAGGCTCCCACCACCACCGCTGTACTGGCAGCCATCAGCCTGGCTTGTGGCTGAGCAGAGCTCCCCCTGTGAGAGCACACTGACCACCAGGGGGGCAGCTCCTGCATTGAGTATCTGCCCCCTGGTGGTCAGTGTGTGTCATAGTGACCAGTCATTCCCAGTCATTCTGCTGTTAGGGTCATTTTGCATATTACCCTTTTATTATATAGGATAGAGGCCTGGTACATGGGTGGGGGCCAGCTGGTTTGCCCTGAAGGGTGTCCCGAATCAGGGTGGGGGTCCTGCTGGGGTGCTTGGCCAGCCTGGGTGAGGGGCTGATGGCTGTTTGCAGCTGGTCACACACCCTTCAGGATGGGGTTCCCCACTGGGGTGCCTGGCCAGCCTGGGTGAGGGGCTGATGGCTGTTTGCAGGCTGGCCACACCCCCTTTAGGGTCGGGGGTCCCCACTGGGGTGCCTAGCCAGTCTGGGTGGGGGGCTGAGGGCTGTTTTCCGGCTAGCCAAGCCTGCCGGCGATGGAAACTCACAACCTCTCCTTTTTCTCTCTTTTTTTTTTCTGGGATTTATTTACCTTCTATAATTGAAACTTTGTAGACTTGAGAGGAGCTCAGAGCCTGCCAGGGCGGGCAGGAGGGAAGCTTGGCTTCCTCCATTGCCAGTGGCAACCCAGCCTCCTCCTCACTTCAGCTCCGTGGCCACAGCCGGCTGAAAGCAGGTATCTGGGGTTTGTTTATCTTCTATAATTGAAACTTTGTTGCTTTGAGTGGAGCTCAGAGCTGGCTGCGGCAGGCGCGAAGCTTGGCTTCCTCCATCATTGGGGCAACCAAGCCTCCTGCTTGCTTCAGCTCCATGGCTGCCGGCCGCCATCTTGGTTGGGTTAATTTGCATATAGTTGCTCTGATTGGCTGGTGGGTGTGGCTTAAGGTGTAGCAAAGGTATGGTCAATTTGCATGTTTGTCTTTTATTAGTGTAGATAATATTCAGAGGTTCTAGGGATTAGGATATAGACATATTTGGGGGTCATTTATTCTGTCTACCACATATATGTAATCTTTTTCTTTTGCAAACCTCAAGAAACTTCACCCTTAAATACTTGGGCATGCATCGCAACAAGAAGATTCTCCTACATTACCATAGCAAACTATAATATATATATATAGTACATATTATCTAATGTACAGTATTCAAGTTTTCACACTTGTCTTAATAAAGCCCTGTACTTGTAGCTATATATAGGTATATATGACCATTTTTATTGATTTCAGAGAGGAAGGGAGAGGGAGAGAGAGATAGAAACATCAATGATGAGAGAGAATCATTGATCATCTGCCTCCTGCACACCTCACACTAGGGATCAAGCCTGCAGCCGGGCATGTGCCCTGACCAGAAATTGAACCTTGACCTGGTTCATAGGTCGATGTTCAACCATTGAACCACACCAGCCAAGCTCAAGTCTTTTTTTTTTTTTTTTTTTAAATATACTTTATTGATTTTTTACAGAGAGGAAGGGAGAGAGATAGAGAGTTAGAAACATCGATGAGAGAGAAACATCGATCAGTTGCCTCCTGCACATCTCCTACTGGGGATATGCCCACAACCCAGGTACATGCCCCTGACCGGAATCAAACCTGGGACCTTTTAGTCCGCAGGCCGACGCTCTATCCACTGAGCCAAACCGGTTTCGGCAAGTCTTTTTGATGTAAAGTTTTAATAGTGCAAATAGGATTTTTAAAAAAATTCCAGTTATAACTACTGTTTCATTTCTGATACCATTTTTGTTTTATTTTCTGAATAGATTTGATAGAACTTTGTATGTATTTTAGTTTCTTTTTTTACTTTTAAAAAATGTTTACCTTGGACTTTCTGCTAACTTTGTGATTTAGTTGCCTCTTTAATAAGTGTTTAGTTTTGTTTTGGTTATATGGCACTAGCCTGCTCTTGCTCTTAAACTTATGGCTTGTACTTAGTTTCTCTCGCAAGCATGTCAAACTCAGCATTACATCAGGCATTCAGCCCACTGCCCTCAAGTTTGACATGCTTGCTTAGGGGCTCTTTTGGGAAGAATGGCTCATCATGTACCTCTATAGGTTTTAATTCTCTAGTTTTGGTTTTTATCTGATCAAATAATACTTGAGTACAAAGCTTAAATTTCAGGTAAAGAAAAGCTACTTTAATCACCAACTCCAATTCAAGACCACTCCACAGCGATTAATTACTGTTGTTAATTGATGTATATTTTTCCACCCTTTTCTATGCTATTTATAATCTGTATCATTTCTTAGAAATGTAAACAGTCCACTGTCTGCGTGTAGACAAAGGGTCATTTTACTATTTTTATTCTTAATGTGCTCTTCTCAATCAGCAGTATATCTTGGAGAGCTTCCATGTCAGTACTTGTAGATCTACAATATCAAATTTTTTTCATTGATTTTTTTTTTTTTAGAGAGAGAGAGAGGAAAGGCCAGTGGGAGAGAGAGAAACATCAACTGGCTGCCTCCTGCGTGTCCTCTACCAGGAATCGAGCCAGGGTCAATGCCCTGACCAGAAATTGAAGCAGCAACCTTTTGGTGTATGATAAGATTCCCAACCAACTGGGTCACACTGGCCAGGGCAACAGTGTAGAGTTTTTAATAACTGCATAGTATTCCATTGTATGTGTATACTATACTTTAGTTAACTCTCTATTAATGATATTTAGGTATTTTCAATAATATTTTTTTGATTCCTGTAGGTGCTGCTGTAAGACATTCTTGTATGTTCTCTCTTGTGTTCCTCTGTGAATATTATTTTATTAGAAATGGAATTAAATGGGTCTTAAAGATATATGTTTTTATGGATTTTGCCAATTTGCCCTTTGAATATCATTCTACAACAATATACATTCCTTTAGCAGCACCAGTTCTCCATATTTTTGGCCTAGTTCTATTCCTTTTATTTTTGCCAAACTAATACATTTTTTTTAAATTAAATCTTTATTGTTCAGATTATTACATTTGTTCCTCTTTTTTCCCCCCATAACTCCCCTCCTCCCAGTTCCCGCCCCACCCTCCGCCCTCACTCCCCACCCACTGTCCTCATCCATAGGTGCATGATTTTTGTCCAGTCTCTTCCCGCATCTCCCACACCCCCTTTCCCCCCAAGAATAGTCAGTCCATTCCCTTTCTATGTCCCTGATTCTATTATAATCACCAGTTCATTCTGTTCATCAGATTATTTATTCACTTGATTCTTAGATTCACTTGTTGATAGATGCATATTTGTTGTTCATAATTTGTATCTTTACCTTTTTCTTCCTCTTCCTCTTCTTAATGGATACCTTTCAGCATTTCATATAATCCTGGTTTGGTGGTGATGAACTCCTTTAGCTTTTCCTTATCTGTGAAGCTCTTTATCTGACCTTCAATTCTGAATTATAGCTTTGCTGGGTAAAGTAATCTTGGTTGTAGGTTCTTGGTATTCATCACTTTGAATATTTCTTGCCACTCCCTTCTGGCCTGCAAAGTTTCTGTTGAGAAATCAGCTGACAGTCGTATGGGTATTCCCTTGTAGGTAACTGAGTTTCTTTCTCTTGCTGCTTTTAAGATTCTCTCTTTGTCTTTTGCTCTTGGCATTTTAATTATGATGTGTCTTGGTGTGGTCCTCTTTGGATTCCTTTTGTTTGGGGTTCTCCGCGCTTCTTGGACCTGTAAGTCCATTTCTTTCACCAGGTGGGGGAAGTTTTCTGTCATTATTTCTTCAAATAGGTTTTCAATATCTTGCTCTCTCTCATCTTCTGGCTCCCCTATAATTCTGATGTTGGTACGCTTGAAGCTGTCCCAGAGGCTCCTTACACTATCCTCGCATTTTTGGATTCTTTTTTCATTCCGCCCCTCTGGTTGGGTGTTTTTTGCTTCCTCGCATTTCAAATCATTGACTTGATTCTTGCGCTCCTCTGTTCTGCTGTCGGGAGTCTGTATAATATTCGTTATTTCAGTCCGTGTATGCTTAATTTCTAGTTGGTTCCCCAATATAACATCGAGGGTCTCATTAGTTTTCTTGTAGATCTCATTAAGTTTATCGGCGGCTTCTAAACAGTTCTTGAGAGACCTTAAAAGTGTGGTTCTGAACTCTATATCTTCCATTGACAATTTTGTCCTGTTTCTTTGTCTCCGCATTTTGTTATGCTTCCTTGGTGCACCCCCTAGTGGTCTTTGTGCGCAGTCTTGTAGTTAAGCCTTGATTGTTGTAGCTAATACCAGGGAGGGTTTGACCTCCAGGCCAAGTGGCTGTCACGCTTTGAAAAGCAGGGAGGCTGGCAAATGCAATGTGGCAGGTTTTGTTCTAGGTGTTCCAAACTAATACGTTAATCAAAGTAACTCATTTTCTGTCTGATTTCTACCTTTCTAAAATTCTTAAAAATTCCTGATCTAATTTTGGCATCTTTCTGTATTGTAATAATATTCCATGTATATCTTTTATTTTTCTGTATATATCTTTGCTATCATCTTAATATAATTTTAGAAGAAAGATGTGAACACATGTATTTAATAACGCACTGTTCTGAACTGTTTTGGATGCTGGACTTTTGGCTGTGAGGTCTAACTTGCTTTTGCATGCTGTCCTCTACATTCCCACAATTTAAATTCATATGTCAACATATATCTCTGTGTGGCATAAATCTTTGAGTCCAATTAGTAAGTAATTGAAATTGTAAGTGTAAATTAGGGAATCTGTTACATGAATAAAAATGTAATGATTTAAAAAATGATTTTGAAATTTTTCTTTTCAGGTATTAGAATATTTAAATGATCTGAAACAATATTGGAAAAGAGGATATGGGTATACTATTAATAGTCGATCCAGCTGCATCCTGTTTCAGGATATCTTTCAGCACTTGGACAAAGCAGTTGAACAGAAAAAAAGGTAAAAACTTAAAAAATAATTTTATTTTTTAATCTTCACCTGAGGACATGTTTATTGGTTTGAGAGAGAGAGGAATGAGAGAGAGAGAGAGAAACATAAATGTGAGAGAGAAGCATTGATTGGTTGCCTCTTGCATGTACCCCCACCAGGCACCAAACCTGTAAAACCAGGCATATGCCCTGACAGGGAATCAAACCCAAGGCCTTTCGGAGTACAGGATGATGCTCCAACCATCTGAACCACACTGGCCAGGGCATGCAGTTTATTCTGTGTGCCCAGTTAAGCTTATTTTTAAAAATAGGTTTTGTTTGTGTATTTGGCTCTAGCTTCTTGCCAGGGCTAGATTTGCTGTTTAACCACTGTTTGAGCAGCTATGATTAGAAAAACAATGAATTTAATAAAGAAATGTGATGTACCTGGATTTTATTCTACTCTTTCCTTCCCCATTATTTCTATCAGTATATTTCTCTCCTGCTTTTTCAAAGTAAAGTTTATATTCTGGAATGTAATTGCTTGCCTCATGAGATCTTTTTTTGTGAGTGATACTCTCAAACACCAAAATTAATTGCTATAAATATTTCTTATTTTCATTGAATAACTTTCATTGTCCTTTTTCTAACTTTTCATTGACTCTCAAATCTCTGGTATTTTCAGATTTCACTGGGTATGGGTATGGCTTTTTAAAGTTGTGTAGTTCCATATTTTAACATAAGATGGCAGCATTGAAATGTATAAAATAGCCATTTGGTTAATTAGCCCATTATAATGGGAGAGCTTTGTCTTTTAAAGTTCTTAGAAATGCATGCAGATTCTAAGTCCTCAGAACCTATTCTTGCTGGTCTTTTTGCTAACTTTCTGAAGTTAGTGTTTCAGGGAATTTTAACTCGGTGTACCAGGAGGTGCCACCTCAGTTTTAGTGCTAGTTACTGAAAGAGGCTAGCTAAATGAGGTAAAGAGCAATGTACTCTGAATGCAGATTCAAATGGCCAGGTGCTTCTGGAAAGATACTTTTTGATTCTCATGGACTATAGGTCTGTGATACCTGGAACTTCGTTTATTTCACCGCTCTCTCCTCAGTGCCTATGAACAAGTGTGGAATGCAGTTGGAATGCTCAGTAGATATTGAAAGACTATCCACAATCCTTTTTCTTTAGTATTCCCTGTTTTAGTCAATGACACCATCATCCTCCCAGACAGCCAAGCCACAAACTGATGCATCATTTTTACCCTGTCTCCCTCACCCTCTACATCTCCTAATATTGTGATTTTTTTTTTTTCTTTTGGCTTCCAGTTTTATATCAATCTCTTCCACTTTTCTTCACCCCGCACTGCTACTGCTATTGGTGGGAGTAGGGGGTCCACATCTCCATCTGTTGCTAGTGGGAGTGGGCTTCTTGCGATATCCCAAGAAAATGAATTTTCTGAGACTCACGGGGGAGGATGAGATATTGTAGGAAGTTTTATTTCTGTGGAAAGTTTTATTTCAAGCCCCTTAGTTTCCAAGTTTTCATTTCCCTCAGTACCACCAAGGAAGGAGTCCCATTTTGCCTTTAGTAGAGCTATAATCAGAGCCAGTGTCTAGAATTTTTGTTCCATATTTGCACTTTCCAGTCCAGCATCAGGCTAGCTTAGCTTTTGTTCCCAACTTCAATCCATTAGTTCATTGTGTGTGGAGTCCGCATGGCTGTGGGCCATACAGGGGAAATGTAAAGAATCGATACAAGAGAGCTCCATGAGCCAAGAGCAATAAGAGAGGATTCCTTTGTTTAGGGATTATGTTTTCCTAAATTTTCACAGGCTTGCATTGGCTGCACCCATTCTGGCCAATCCATGGTTCCCCAGGCTTGACTGACGGGCAAGTACCTTCCCTAGTCACCCCAGCTTCACTGTACATGCATCTGTCTCCCCTTTGTTGGACTCCTTTATCCCCAGTGATCTGCAAGCTGCCCAGTGGCCATGCTTTTAATGTCTGGCCTTCCCTTTGCTCCTTTCGTATTAGTAGTAATACCTAGCTAATTATATAGGTATCACTACCACCTCAGTTTATGCTAGCTAGTATCTTCTAGATTTTAGCACCTGCCTCCTACGTGCTTTCCTAAATTTCAGTGTTACTCCCATTCCACTCTAACACAACTTACGCAGGCAGAAGGTGAATACATTTAAATTACTGTCTCAAAGAACTCATGTCTGGTTTGGAGGATATTTGTAAAACCACTAAAAAAAGTACTGAAGGAGAATAAATTTGAACTGTGGGGTTTGGTAAAGGCTTAATGGAGGGAGGCATCTTTGAGCTTGGTTACTGAAAACTTCTGTCACTAACCTCAGCATATGAGCCCTTAATATTTTTGATTTTTTTAAATAGCTCTATTGAGGTATAGTTGATATAAACAGCACATACTTAAAGTGTTCAATTTGGTGAGTTTTTATATATATGTTGATACCCATGAAATTGTCACCAAAATTATGATAATGAAATATCCATCACATGCAAAGATTTCTTTGTGAGTCTTTGTAATCTACTTTCCACCCCCACCCCCACCCCCACCCCTATTCCAAACTGGGCAACCACTGATCTGCTTTCTGACACAATAAATTAATTTGTGTGGTTTTTTAGAATTTTATATACTGGAATCATATAATATGTACATTTTTTTGGTTTGGCTTCTTTCACTTAGCTCAATGTTATGAGATTTATCCATGTTGTTGTGGCTATGAGTAGTTAATTCCTTTTTAAGGCTGAGTAATATTCTCTCCATGGGTACACCACAATTTGTTTCTCCACTCTCCTTATGATGGACATTTGGGCTGTTTCCAGTTTGAGGCTATTACAGATAAAGCTGCTGTGGACCTTTATGGTCTTTATATGGACATATGCATATTATTTCTCTTGGATAATATCTAGAGAGCTGGAATAGCTGAGTCATATATAGGTGTATGTTTAACTTTTTAAGAAACTGCCAATCTCTTCCCACCAATGTATGAGAGTTCCTGTTATTCTTCATCCTAGCCAGTACTTGGTATAGTAGATCTTTTTAATTATAGCCATTATAATGGGTGTTTAATAGTATCTCATTTGGTTTTAGTTTGCATTTCCCTAAAAATTAATGATATTGAGCATCTTTTCATATTTTGGGGGGCTCCTCTTCTCTGTGCTGCAGCCTTGAAAATACAGGCAGTAATCTGGGACAGTTGTTGGAGTTCACCTGATTTGCCTTCCTTCACTCTTACTGTATTGTTGAATGCCTGAAAAATGCTCTTTCGTATATTTTGTCTGATTTTATAGTAGTTCAAGGCAGAAAGATAAATCGGTTCCTGTTATTCCATCTTGAATGGAAGCAGAATTTATTTTTATGTCTTTGCTTGAGAAAAAAATCTTTATGTTTGAGCCATTTTAGTTCTACATTTGTGTTAAGCTGTCAAACAGATGCTTCTCCAGATGCCTCATTGGAGCTGATATTTCAATCAGATGTATAAGAAGATAAAAAATTTTCCTGTTAATTTTCTTTCTTTTTTTTCTTTTTTTTTTTTAATATATTTTATTGATTTTTTACAGAGAGAAAGGGAGAGAGATAGAGAGTTAGAAACATCGATGAGAGAGAAACATCGATCAGCTGCCTCCTGCACACTCCCTACTGGGGATGTGCCCGCAACCCAGGTACATGCCCTTGACCGGAATCGAACCCGGGATCTTTCAGTCCGCAGGCCGACGCTCTATCCACTGAGCCAAACAGGTTTTGGCCCCTGTTAATTTTCTTCCCAAAGCTCCTCATATCTCTGGCAGTTCATGTTGCTTATTTGTGCACTTACATAAGTATGGGGATTATGTGGATCATGTTTAAAAACACCCCTTGTGTAACGTTAGTTGAATGTGAAACTTGAATTAAGAGCTTAGAAAGAGCTAAGCTGAGTATATTTAGGGGAAAAACATGCAACTATTGGTTGTTTTTCTGGTTGATCTTTTTGAATGACTTGAAGTGCTTTTTTGGAGTGTTACCTATTTTGAACATACACATACTAGTCAACCTTTATTTAACAGCAGAATTTTAGACTTCAAATTAAATTTCATTTTTAATTGAAGGTTTAATAAAATCTTCTTACCAACTTATAATAGTAAAAGAGGGCTGCAGTTTGGAGAACTGCATTCTTATCTTGCTAGATAACATTAGGCAATTCACTTGTCTTTTCCTTATTTCTAAAATGAGAGGATTTGACCACTTCTCAACCCTAAAACATTGATTACAACAGTGTATTTCTATATAGAATTCAAGGACAAGCTGGAGATTAGGTTCTTTCAAATAGTAATTGGACTTACACTAACTGGAGTAAATTAGAGCCTAGCAGATGTGTGACACTTCTAAGATTTACTCTCTATTGTGAGGCAGAGCAAAAAATAGTGTGTTCCTGAAATGGAACCAACTCACTTAACAGAAATTATGGATTTATTTTACAGAAACTTGGCATATACCTTTAATGGCCTCTGATGAAAATTGGATCATAAATAAAGACTCTCCTGTATTTGCCCTGACAACTTTAGAGTTATAAAAACCAATAAGAAAGCCCTACTGTATTTGTGGCCACACACAAATTCCATAACTCTTTAACCCCCACTAATTGAAGGTATATAAGTAAAAATGGAGATTTTTGATGTTTGGATATAATTTAGAATAGAAATGTTTTTCCATTTAATGCTACTTTGTAAAGAAACCTTGAAATGTAAGTCATCTGAAAGGGTAAACAGGTATAAGCATGAGCAGCTGTTTAAGACGGATTATGTAAACTCTTTGGAATAAAAATACCCACTTTTGAGTCACATATATCCCCATGTCAGTAGGTTTTATGTTGTTTGTTTTGTTTTTAACAAACTCTTCTTGAGATCAGTTTTAGGTTTATAGCAAAATTGAGCAGAAAGTACAAAGAGTTCCCGTACACTCCTTTGCCTACCCCTTACTATTGGCATTCTATATCACAGTGGTACATTATAATTAATAACCCTCCAACAAAACATCATTATCACAGAAGTCAATAGTTTGCATTAGAGTTCACTGTTGGTGTTGTATATTCTCTGGGTTTGGACAAATGCATAATGACATGTATCCACCATTGTAGTATTATACAATAATTTTTATTGCCCTAAAAATCCTCTGTTCTTTGCCTATTCATCCTTCTCTCACCCCAACCCCTGGTAACCACTGATCTTTTTACTGTTTTCATAGTTTTGCCTTTTTCAGAATGTCATGTAGTTGGAATCATATGCTATGTAGCCTTTTCAGATTGGCTTTTTTCACTTAGTAATATGCACTTAAGTTTCCTCCATGTCTTTTCATGGCTTGATAGTTCATTTCTTTTTAGCACTGAATAATATTTCATTATCTGGATATACCACCATTTATTTACCCATTCACCTACTAAATAACATCTTGGTTGCTTCTAAGTTTTGACAGTTATGAAAAAAGCTTCTATAAATGTCCATGTTTAGGTTTTTGTATAGATATGTTTTTAATTCACTTGCAAATATACCAAGGAATATAAGGATCATGTGGCAAGAGTATGTTTACTTTTGTCAGAAACCACCAAACTGATTTCCACAGTGGCTATATCATTTTTTTATAAGATACCATTAAGCCCCTTTTATTTTATTTTTATATATTTTTTTTATTGATTTCAGAGAGGAAGGGAGAGGGAGAAGGAGATAGAAACATCAATAATGAGAGAGAATCATTGATTGGCTACCACCTGCACACCCCCTACTGGGGATAGAGCCCATAGCATGTGCCCTTGACCAGAATCGAACCTGGGACCCTTCTGTCCGCACGCTGATGCTCTATCCACTGAGCCACACCAGCTGGGCAGCTATATAATTTTGTATTCATACCAGCAGTGACTGAATGAAATCCTGTTGTCAGCACTTGGTGGTGTCAGCTTTCTGGATTTTGATATGTAGTGGTATCTTGTTTTAATATGTAATTCCTTACTGGCATGATGTGGAGCACCTTTTCATTTACTTACTTGTCATCTGTATATCTTCTTTGGTGAGCCTTCCAGGTCTTTTGCCCACTTAAAAAATATATTTTTTTATTAATTTGAGAGAGAGTTGAGAGAGAGAGGAAGGGAGAGGGATAAATAGAAACATCGATCAACTGCCTCCTGCATGCCCCCCACTGGGGATCGAGCCTGCAATCCCAGGCATGTGGCCTGACTGGGAATAGAACCAAGAACCTCTTGGTTCTTTGGTCCATCCGTGTTCAACCACTGAGCCACACCAGGCGGGTTTTTGCCCATTTTTTAATTGGGTTGTTTCTTGTTGAGTCTTAAGAGTTCTTTGTATATTTCAGATAACAGTCCTTTGTCGTAGGTGTCTTTTGCAAATATTTTCTCACAGTTTGTGACTTGTCTTCTCATTCTCTTGACATTGACTTTAGCAGAGGAGAGTTTTTTAATTTTAATAAAGATTAGCTTATCAGTTAACTTTCATGGATCATGCCTTTGGTGTTATATATATAAGTCATTGCCATATCCAAGGTTATATAAGTTTTCTCCTTTGTTATTTTCTAGGAGTTTTATTGTATTGAGTTTTACATTTAGGTCTATGATCATTTTTTAGTTAATTTTTGTGAAGAGTCTCAGGTCTGTGTCCAAATTCATTATTTTTTGCATGTGGATATCTAATATTCCAGCACCATTTGTTGAAAAGACTGTGTTCGCTCCATTGCTCCTGTATTGTCATTGCTCCTTTGTCATAATTATGAGTTAGATGTTTTACTCCTATTTTCTTAAGGAGCCTTGAATAAAATTGCTTTGTCATATATATTCTAGTTTCAACAGTTGAACCACTAAGGATTACTAAGTTGAATTTCAGCTTGTAAAGTAGAATAGTGAAGAAAATCAGTTTATGTTTGAGACAAGTGACATAGTCTAAGCCAGTGATGGCAAACCTATGACACGCGTGTCAGAGGTGACACGCGAACTCATTTTTTTGGTTGATTTTTCTGTGTTAAATGGCATTTAAATATATAAAATAAATATCAAAAATATAAGTCTTTGTTTTACTATGGTTGCAAATATCAAAAAATTTCTATATATGACACGGCACCATAGTTAAGTTAGGGTTTTTCAAAATGCTGACACACTGAGCTCAAAAGGTTCACCATCACTGGTCTAAGCTGTTATTTAATAGAAATACTTTTGAGTTAATGCAAAAAATATTTAACATTCTTTTAGAGCTAATAATTTATTTAAAAGTGTGCTAAATTCTGCTTCTTACCCTTAAAACCCAAACTAGACATTCAGTGAGCTCTGAATTTTTTCTTGAAATGCAAAAATCAAGAAGAATGAAATTTTAAAAAACATTGATTTTTAGAATGGTTCCTAGCTTTGGAGTTACTGTCTCATGGCTAGAGGACTTAAACTGTAAACCAGTATTTGTTTTTCTTTAACTTGTATCACTATTAAATTGCATTATATTTACATTATGGAAGTGGTATTAGCTTTGACTTGCATATGCTCAAATGTATAAAAGGATCTGGGAAGTAATAAAATATCCTATGTTAGACAGCGTGGAGTGACGTATGTCCCGTGTAACAGGTTTATGTCCACTCTGGAAGGTAATCCTCATTCCTATTATACTGATTATTGCCTTGTGGGAATATTTATGTTGGCAGGTCTTTCAGTTTTTCAAGAGGAGCCAAAAAAAATCTGGATTTTTAAGAATCTGAAATCTCCCAATTTTGAAATACTGACAAATAATGCAAAATTGAAAAATATTTATGCAGGTGAAATTGAATATAGCTATGGTCTGAATGGTACTGCTTTGTAACTTCAGACCTAAGGGGATGCTTCTTGGAAATAAATATAAGGCTTTAGGTGCCCTACTTAATGTATACCAGTTAAGAAGAGAGGCTTACAAACACTTGTTGATGAGAATGTTTTATGCTTCTAAGTGTAGATATTATTTTCTATGACACGGATACATAGACATATTTTTTCTCAATTTCTCATTTAAGGTCTCAGCCAATTTCCTCTCCAGTCATCCTTCAGTTTGGTCATGCAGAGACTCTTCTTCCACTGCTTTCTCTCATGGGCTACTTCAAAGACAAAGAGCCCCTCACAGCTTACAATTACAAGGAACAAATGCATCGGAAGTTCCGAAGTGGTCACATTGTACCTTATGCCTCAAACCTGATATTTGTGCTTTACCATTGTAAAAATGCTAAGACTGCTAAAGAAGAATTCCGAGTGCAGTTGTTATTGAATGAAAAGGTGTTACCATTGGCTAACTTGCAAGAAACTGCTTCTTTGTATGATGATCTGAAGAACCATTACAAGGACATCCTTCAGAGTTGTCATACCAGTGAAGAATGTCAATTACCAAAGGTGAACAACACATCTGATGAGCTATGAGTAACTGGAGAACATTTTTAATTCATCAGGAATCTATAGGGCGTGATTACATGCGTGGAGTAGGTGGGCAGTCCCTGGTTACAGAAAGCTTTCACATTACTTGGGTATTTCTATCTTCATAGAAAAACAATGAGTTTCTTTTTTAGTCTGGACATGAACGTGTAAGCAACAATTCTTCACTGGAGCAGCTCTCTTAAGGGGAAAAATATCTATTCAAAGAAATAGTTGGCACTGCAAATGTTTACAGAAGTTAAATTCTTCTTTTTTATACAAGAAATCTCACACTGAATATGTTTTCCAAATAAAGCTTGAAAATGCTGGAGTAACAAAGTATGTCAGTTGGATGATCCATAACTTGATTGAACCAAGTCTAGGAACTTTACCAGTTGTGCTGCAATTCTCTCTTTTTTTTCCTCAAGTAGCACAGTTCTAGTATTATCTTTCTTAATCAGAAATATTGTGATACACTGGGAATATCATTTTGAAAGAAAGCTAAGATCTCTGAGAATTTGAAACAATATTAAGCAGTCTGATGTAAAAGGACACTTTCACTGAAGAAAGACAGAAAATAAAATAAATGTTTTTGTTAATAGTATTTATAAAGCATTTGAAGACTTTTTCAATAATTCCTTTTAGACTTCTACTAAGTCCTGCAAGGCCAGTCTTTAATTATCATACCTGTTTTATATATATAACAATAGAATGACAAAGAGGACCATTAGCAATGTCAGATGGATAGAATCAAAGTTCCTTCAGTCCATTGCTTAGCAGTTTTTAGCATTCTGTCACTTTGCTTCAGTTTTTATATACGGTGTCCAAAAAAATGTATACACACTTTGAATAATTATAAAAGCAATGTTTATTAAAAGACATTTCATTTTCAAAATGTAGTAGAATCAGCTGTTAAAGTTTGTGTATACATTTTTGGGGGACAGCCTATATTTTGCTATTACATCTTTTGAAATATCTTTTGGTTGTTTAATTTTTTTTCATTCCTTTTGTTTATTATTAATTTCAGGGAGGAAGGGAGGGAGAGAGAGAGAGAAACATCAATGATGAGAGAGAATCATCAATTGGCTGCCTCCTGCATGCCCCCTGCTGGAGATTGAGCCCAAAACCTGGGTATGTGCCGTGACCAGGCATCGAACCCTGACCTCATGAGTCAATGCTCAATTACTGAGCCATACTGGCCAGGCTCTTTTTAAAAAAAATAAAGACTTTATCCTGGCTGGCTTAGTTTCACATATATGAACCCATTTTTTAAAAAGAGTTCTGAATTCTGTCAAATACCATGAAAGTTTTTGCTATAATAATAAGCAGAATTCTTGCCCTGGCTGGCTTTACTCAGTGGTTAGCACGTTGGCCGGCAGACCGAAGGGTTGTGGTGTTGATTCCCATCAAGAGCACATACCTCAGTTGCTGGCTCCATCCCCCACCCCGTCGGAGTGTGCGGGAGTCAACCAATCTATGTGAGTCCAATGTCTCTCTGTCCCCTCCCTTACACTCTCTCTAAAAAAATCAATGGAAAAAATACACTTGGGTGAGGATTAAACAAACAAAAAACAAAATTCTTGGTCTTTTCTACTCTTCGTGTTGATAAACAATCAGTCATTGATGTTAAAAGTTTGGGAGTTTAAGCAGCTTTGACTAAATCCGGCAATGCAAGGCAATTTTCTTGTAATTGAAATATTCTCAAATAAATGGAAATCCATTTTATTAAAAAATCTAAGGAGCATCACAACTATATATTGCAATTATAAAAAAAGATGCATAGATCATTGATCTTCAAATTAATAATGTTCTTAAAATAGATAATTAGCTGGTAAATCCTGTTGATCCATTAATATACTGCTGATTGTTCCTGCAAAAATGTCTGGTGCTTGCTTTTTTAAAAACTATGTAAATAGGTAGATAAGAAGAGAATAAGGTAATGAACATTTATGCCCATTGTCCTCTTTTACAAAAATTAGCATTATAATATTTTACTTGGCTCCAAATAAGAACAATTGAGGACTTATATGCTTCCCTGATGCTATTGCCCTCACTCACTGCCAGTATAAAATTCAGTAATCACCATTCCATTACATGCTTGACTCTGGAAGCTTGTAGTATTATTGTGGAAGTTTTAAAATATTCTATAAAAGGACATACTGTGCATAGTATTCTTGAATCTGCTGTATTTGTTTTTCAAGACTTATTAATCCCGATCATTTGTCACAAATTAGTATCATCAATTCATTAATACCTGTTGAGTACTTTTTATGTACAAACACTAGATCCAGTCTGTGGGCATCTAATGGTGAATGAACACAATTCTTACAACTTACATGTGGAAGTTATAGCAGTTGTTTAATTTCATTGTTAAATAGAATGATGTCATTTTTGTAGTCGTTGCTAAGTAAAATATTTCAGGATGGAGGGTAAATGTGGTCCATTTGTGCTAATACAGAGATAGAGATATTATTTTGGTGCTATTATTCTCATTTTGGAAATGCCTGAAACAAGAATATCATGATGAAAACTAAAGGTCTTATCCAGGATAGGATATATCAAAAATAATAGGTGACCAAATTACTTCAGTTAAGCCAAGTTGAATCCTGTCCGACATGACATTTTAGCCTATGGACATTTGCCATTTTTCTGTTTAATCTACAAGTTCATGAGTGCAGTGTATTGTACTTACTGGTTTTTCTAATCATTTTGAAGTTTCTGCTCTCCAACACACATAATCATCCACTGGATACTATTTTTGTATATACCATAATCTTGATCTTTAATTTTAATACTGAAAGCAAAACTCAATTTGTAAAGAAAAAAGAGCTTGTTTTTTCCAGACATAATCAACTTTCATATCTTTACGTGAGTGCTTTCCTTTTGTAAACTGTAGAACTGACAGAGGCCCTTAAATTTCCGGAAGTTAAAGCAACCAAACCAGAATATATAAGTATACATTTTTGGATTATATTTCTCTAAGGTGGCATTTCATGTGGTTCATTAATTAATTATCTTTGGAATTTGGACTGTCTTCTGCCAAATGTAAGCCTAAAATAAACATTTGCATTGTCATATAATTTGCCTATATCTAACTTCTGTACTTCACAGATCACTTAATTCTCTCCTAATCATTCGTTTTCTCTTAAGCATTTTAAGCAGCTCAATTCACTTTTAAGCACTTCCACATTAATCTATTAAGCTATTTTTAATTGGTGTGTGTGTCTGATAGATTTTTTGAGAAAATTTCACAGCAAGAAAGAAGATGTCATATTCTTCCAGCTAAAAGATTTGTAGTTGGAGATCAATGCCTGGCAGTTTAGGAGGTTAACTTTTAAAACTTTGTTTCACTATCTTTACTGAGATAATACATGTTAATACAGGATTCTTAATTTTATTTCTAAAATTCATAATTATTTCCCTGTACTATTCCCAGATTTTATTTTTTTTCTTAATTGATTAAGGTATTACATATGTGTTCTTATTCCCCCATTGCCCCCCCACCCTACCCCCACTTTTGCCCTCACCCCGCTGGTGTCTGTGTCCATTGTTTAGGCTTATAGGCAGCATACAAGTCCTTTAGTTGATCTCTCCCCCTTACCCCCACCCTCCCCTACCTTCCCTCTGAGGTTTGATGGTCTCATTGATGCTTGTCTGTCTCTGGATCTGTATTTGTTCATCAGTTTATATTGTTCATTATATTCCATAATATTCTAAGATTTTAAACCATTATTTAGACCCAAGCATTTCATGTTCACGCTTTTGTTTGTTGTACTGGGAGAACAATATTTGTTCATTAAAATGGCAGCCTTCCAAATTGAATAGTACTCCTAGTATAATGAGGAAGTTTTATTAGAATATTAATTTTACATTATTTCTGAAATGGGTAATATGGAAAATTAAGTTGGGATAGCAATCTACAGATTCTCTCAGCTTTTTTCATTAGAGTTCATTCTACCAGCCTTGGTTTTGATTGTCTTTTTACTGAATATTAACAATTTGGATGCTTTTGAAAATCTTTTCAACGAATACTCTCATTCTGGAAAAAAATAATCCAGTTTTGATGTAAATTATATAAGAACTAGAGTCCCGATGCATGAAATTCTTGCAAGAATAGGCCTTCCTTCCCCCAGCTGATGGCACCGGCTTCCCTCGCAGCCCCGGCTTCGTCTGGAATGTCATCCAGAAGGTCGTCTGGTCTAATTAGCATATTATGCTTTTATTGTAGACCAGAGGCCTGGTGCACAGATTCATGCACCAGTGGGGTCCCCCGGCCTGCCCAATGGGGATCGGGCCGAAACTGGCAGCCCAACATCCCCCAAGGGGTTCCAGAGTGTGAGAGGGCACTCTATAATGTTGCTGTTGCTCAGCAGCTCCTGCATTGAGCATCTGCCCCCTGGTGGTCAGTGCATGTCATAGCCATCAGCCGGTTGGCCGGTGGCTTAGGCTTTTATATATATAGATACACTGGTGGAATATATCTTTGGATACATACAGATGAGAAAGTTTTCTTTAATAAGAAACATTCCAAGTTGGAGATAGGAATTCCGAACACTAATTTTGATCCAGCCATTACTTTCTTTTCCTTAAAATTTTTTTGTTTTCCTTGCCTTCCTGGGAAAGTAAGAAGACAAGTCTTGGCAAGACAATGTAGTGCTTTTTTCTTCTGTCTGCAGTGTTGCTCCTTGAAACTTTGTCACTCTTTGCAATATGGAGATTAGGATGAGAGCTTGGTTTTCTAATTTGACTATTTTAGATATAGCTTTGTAGTTTCCTTAAAGAGTGCTACAGCCGGGAATGGTTTGGCTCAGTGGATAGAGCGTCGGCCTGCGGACTGAAAGGTCCCAGGTTTGATTCCGGTCAAGGGCATGTACCTTGGTTGCGGGCACATCCCCAGTGGGGGGTGTGCAGGAGGCAGCTGATCGATGTTTCTCTCTCATTGATGTTTCTAACTCTCTATCTCTCTCCCTTCCTCTATGTAAAAAATCAATAAAATATATTTTAAAAAAGAGTGCTACAAGTGCTACCCATGGTGGGAAAAATACAACTGAGTTTCACAGCTTTTCTTGCTACTTTAGTACTGGATGACTAAAAGAGATTGGAGGAAAGATACCGAGATTTAGGGGGCGGAAGGCTGAAGAAATGAGATAGAAACAATCCTTGGCTTTTCCTTGCTGAGAGAGAAAACATGAAACTCCTCAATGGGGAATGAGAAGTAGCTGGAGCGTGGCCAGCATGTCTCAGTGGCATGGCCTTGTACGCTGAAAGGTCGCCAATTCCTGGTTAGGGCACATACTCAGGTTGTGGATTCGATTCCCGGTTAGGACTTGTACAGGAGGCAATTGATTGATGTTTCTTCCTCACATTGATGTTTTCTCCCTCTCCCTTTCTCTCTAAAATCAATAAAACAAAATACTTAAAAGGAGTGGCTGGGTGCTCGCTCCGGCAGCACATATACTAAAATTGGAACGATACAGAGAAGATTAGCATGGCCCCTGCGCAAGGATGACACGCAAATTTGTGAAGCGTTCCATATTAAAAAAAGAAAAGAAAAGAAAAGGAGTGGCTGGGGTTGTACAGCCACTTCAGTATGGTTGCAAGCAT